CGGGGGCCATGATCGCTGCAGCGGCCGGGGGCCATGATCGCTGCAGCGGCCGGCTGATTCCTGAAAAAAACCTAAGAGCGCCTGCGCAGCTACGTAGGGCTAGCGTAGACAGCGCTAGTAGCGTAGCCTTCCGCAGGCGCAGTTCAGTATGGCTAGCGTAGATAGCGTAGCACAAACTGCGCCTACGCAAGGCTATGCTACTAGCGCTGTCTACGCTAGCCCTACGTAGCTGCGCAGGCGCTCTTAGGTTTTTTTCAGGAATTGGCCGGCCGCTGCAGCGATCATGGCCCCCGGCCGCTGCAGCGATCATGGCCCCTGGCCGCTGCGCGGCCCGGTGCCAGGTACTCCACGGCCCGGCACCGGTCCACGGACCGGGGGTTGGGGATCACTGTTCTAGAGGATAGGCTGATCATATGGTTCACCTTTTGTTTGAAAAGAAATCAAATATTTCTGTATATTTTTATTTAACTTTCAACAAAGAAATAATTTCATCAATATAAAAATGGACTTTTCCTTACCTCCATGGCAGCAGAAAATCTTCTCATCTACTATTGCTGCAATAGGCAGACAATTAAAGCAATCTGTAAATGTCTTCCAGAGTTTGATATTAAATCTTCGTTTACCTAATAAAATTGGAATAATATTTACACTGTAGAATGACCAAAGTTATATGACATGAATTGCTCAACAATTTCACTAACTTCTTGTTGCAAGAGGATGCATTACAAACTTGAAGAACTATAAATGTATTAAGCATTTCAAAATATTGCAGTCATTTCATAAAAGAAAATCATTTACAGAAAATTTTACTTACATTCATCATAGAATCCGTAGATGCGATTTATACTAGCACACTCATGATTTCCTCTCAAGAGAAAAAAATTCTCAGGATATTTTATTTTATACGCAAGTAACAAGCAGATAGTTTCCAAGGATTGTTTGCCTCTGTCCACATAATCTCCCAGAAAAAGATAGTTAGCTTCTGGTGGAAATCCTCCATATTCAAATAATCGAAGTAAATCTGTATACTGGCCATGAATGTCACCTAAAATAATTAAGAAAAGTTGTATTACAAGTATCATGAGGCTTATATCAGTTTACAACTATCTAAAGAACTGGAAATAAAAAACAGAATTTTGCTTCTCAAGTTCTCCAATAATTAATATAGCAAACACCAAGGGTGATTCAAGATTCTGTCTATCTGAATTTTTATCTTGCAAATAATTTCAAAATTGTTTTGCCCATTAGACTGAATATGGAATGAGGCTTCCCCCAAGATCTGAATGGCCCTACTTTCTGTTTACAACAGCTGTAAAGATCTGGCTTTTTACCAAGCCCTTTTGTGAGAGAAAGCAACACTCCTTGCTTCAACTAAACTTCTTTTATCATTATTTGATGTCTTATTGGTTTTATTATAATTTGTTGTGAACCTCTCAGAGTCTTGAGAGCTGGGCATCATACAAATTTACTAAATTATTAACATAGAACATCTTCCTTGTTCCTTTTATGGAAGCTTTCATAAAGAGTATTAAATGTTCAGTTGTTTATAATTGCTAATCAGTTAACATCAACCATATGCATAAGATATGTGCCAATTTTCCTTTAGCAATACCAGCACATAATCAAATCTACGTAATCAAAACTGTGATATTATCACACATGTAAATTATAAATAGAATCTATTTATGGACATGAGCGAACCATAATTGATTTTGAATTTGATGAGTCTCCCACATTCATATCACGTTCTTCAGATAAACAATTATAGGCAGTCCTTTTGCTAGGGCATTTTCATACTTTATTTAGCATTTGACATTTTATAATTGTTCTTAATCATATCATAAGGATATACTAACTTTGATATTTTATATTATTGTATACAGCTGCCCATGTATTTTTATTGGCAGATGTATACAAGAATATAAAATAATGTTTTATGTATCTATGCTTTGAAAGTATTTTATTTTTTACTCAACTACAATTTACTACTATAACAGAACTTGGACAATATATTGTATGTTGAACTACGATGTGTTGAAGCACATCAGCTTCACACTATGGTTCACATCCTGGATAGTTAAGATAACCTATATAAAAATCATAATTTAGTTTGGACATGAATATGTGGAAATAAAAGCAAATTCTTCTCATTTTGTTTCTCATAACAGGATGAAAAAATAGGGGAGGCCAGCAGATGGCTATAAATACTAAGGACACTAGGATTTCATCTAAATTGGATTAATCCTTCAATCTTCCTCAGCAGCAATGATTATGATGCCATTAAAACTTCATTCTGCAAACAAAATAAATTTCATCCTTCCTTTTTTATTTGTGCCTTTGAGTCAGAGTGGACTCCTGGTGATTATTTACTTATAAATATAAAGACAGGATAAAAGTCTAATAAGTAATTCAAGGAGCCTGTGTCCCCGCCTAATTGCCTAAACTGTTTTTTTTTAGGGTCCCCATTTTCCCATTCCCAGAATTTCCTCTCTTGCAGAGGACAGAGATTGCTTGGAAAAGCTCTTGCTTTCTAAATTACTTCTCTTTGCCAGACAGGCTGCACTTCCCTGAAAGGTGCTAACAGAAAGTTAGCTCCGCTCTGCAACCTTGATTAGCAGTCAGGTCACTATGATCTTAATCAATTTCACCCCAAAGTTTTCTTTTATATCCTAAGCAGCCACAAACAAGGTATCAAGGCATTTATTTCAATGTCTATTCCTCATTATGTATGCTTACTTTTTCTACTTTCTTCCTTTCAAATACAAACATCAATTTCCACTTGCTAATTATCCCAGAAGGGAGGTAAAGATTTAAAAAGATGTGAGAGTAGAGAAAAGGGCTGCAAGATTTGCCCTCTTTTTCCAGCTTCCTTGTGAGTCAAGTTCTGGAACATGAATCTTTACTGTTTGACCTCACCCAGCTGATTGGGGTCATATCCTCTTGATGTTATAAATTTTATTTTTAAAAAGTCCTTAATAAACTTTGAAAAAGATTTATTGAAAGCCTTGAGGCCTCCCTATTTTTCTTCATAAGTAGTTTTTTTAAAGGAATGGAGATTTAAAGATCTGACTATATTTAAGGGACCTCTTTTTTCCAAGTTTTTTTCTAAACTCTACATTTTTTAATATAAATACATAACAGAAGTTTTAAAATTAATATTACATAATTCAAAAAAGGTAGTAAATCTCTTTTTATTGTATTAGTATTGTATTTATTATTGGTTACACCTAACAAAAATTCAAGCCCAGTAAACCCAAACATTTTAAATACGATTTAAGATTACATATTTTCTACTTTCCATTTTTATTTGTACCATGTCAGTCTACATGACAATCATTCTGACCACTTGAAAAAACAAATGTAAATAACAGATTTCTCTGTACTACCTATTAATTTTGGAAAATGAAGATTATTGTGAGTTATTATAATGACATTCTGCTACTCCTTCAAAGTCTCAAAACCATCTGCCATTCTTGATGTTTAGCTCAAAAGACAAAACACTTCTTTAGAGGATATTCAGAGGATCCCAAACATATAGATACAAAATAACTGCACAGAATGCTACACATTTTAGTTCTTAGTTTACCCTTTAATTCCCATTCCAATGACTATTTAATTTTAAAACTAAGTGATTACTTAGCCAATCATCCTTTCAGATTGGAATGTTTTGCTGTGTTTTTTATATAACTTAAATCCATCATCAATATTGAGAAATTTTGTCATACAAGTTAAAGTTTTTTTTAAAACATAAAAGAAATCAGCACATACCACAGATCTTCAGTGGTGCTTCTAGCTCCAAGAGAATGGGCTGGCTAAGAAAAATTTCTCGTGATTTTATACACAAACCCCGAACTTCAGCTTCTGTCATCTGTACAATCTTTCCAGGACGACATCCTCGCACTGCAAGTCGAAGAATTAAAACATTAAAATTCTGAATCTCTTAAAATGTCAAGGAAAAAATGCAGTTCCTCGATTAAGAACGATTTGTTTCCTGTTTTAACCCAAATTGGTTATTTAAGTTGGAACTTCTTACAAACATTGCGTATTACTAAAAATGGTGGATCACACTGACTTCTCTCAAGTGGATGAAGCACTGAAGACACACAATGTTTTTAGGAACCCTTGAAAACAGGCCTTGTGTAAAAAAAATCCAATAGCTTCAGTGGCTCTTGAAAGCACTGAACATCTTCAGTACTTTGTCAGCTTAAGAAGAACTCAAACTGAATTTTTTAGTAATAGCTAAAATAGTCTTCATAGCTAGAAATTGTTTTTAATTTAGAGGTTCTTCATCTGTGGACTGCCTAGAAATCAAACTCCCCTGCTTAACAAGGTAGTTATGCCTATGTTCTTTTCCAGAGGCATATGGATGTAGAAATAATGAGGTTTTTAAAGTCCGTTCAGAAACCATACCACCCCAATGTAGGGGTTTCTATAATTTTATTTTAATCAAGATTCCTTGAATCTGCAACTACTGCAATCACTGAGTTAATTCTTTTGTATTGCTCCAAATAGTGATACTATCTTCAACCTGATTATGGTGTTTGGGGGAAGTGCAAATATAGCATTCAGAGGGTTGCCAGAATGCAGAAACTGCTACTATAGACAAAAAGACTGTTCAATTTTTAAAAGAAAAGCTTTTGACATCTTTCACACTTTCATTATAAAATTATGAGGCCTCCCACAAATAAAAATTAGGAAAAATACTTGATTTCAAATCTCACAACCCAAATTTTGAAAAAAAAAATGTTAATTCCATTTTGTTATAATCCCTATGCCTCAGATGTTAATCTAATTCAGATGTTCCAGAACTCCAAACTATTTGGGTATAAAATACTGATTTACTGGGCTGAAGGAAATACAATTCTGCAGAAATCATACTATTTTTAAACCAAGATTAAAAAAACAACCCTTTGTAATGTCTATTTAATTTTATGCTGTTTAAAATTGTCTCGTGTTTCCAGATAAATCCATGACATTTTTTTTCTGGCCAAAGCTACCATTTCTTTTAATTCAACCACAGAAGACCAAAGAGGAGTTCCCTACTTCTTCTGGTATGGGAAAAAGGAAAAAAGGAATCAACGTAAATCCCATAAAATTAGTGTATTAACAGCAAGCCATGGAAAAGAATACAAATCCAATGGTTTTCCCTATGGAATGGACCACTTTCTTAAAGCATGAAACTGCATGTGAAATAATGCTAGTACTATTGACAAATCATATTGATGTGGATATAGTTCAATTATACAAGTGATCAATTATACAAGATTATATAGCAGAGGTCCCATTTCTGCTACTATCCAGTATCTAAACAAAATGTGTCTTATGCAAAACAGCAGAAGAAATAGAATACTATAGGATCCATAGTGTTTTCTATTTTGGAACTCATACCCTTCTCTGCTTCACATTAAATACTTAGACAATTTATTTTTCTTTAAATCTTGCCAATTTATAAGCTGGAAAATTGATTTGGGAAAGATTCTTTATGCAGAACACGTCAGAGCAGATATTTATGAGAGCATCCAAAATGTATCAAAATTTTTAAATAAAGCTATTGCCTCATGGGAGTCTGAACTGATATAAAAGTAATTTTTTCCCATTCTTTTTATTCATTTTATTATCTTGAGAAACAGTTCTCAGATGTCATAAGTAAATAACCTAATACTAGATTACTCCACTATCAAAACAGAGGAGAAAGAAGAGCCAGGTGAAAGCCAGCTCTCCTGCTCCCTCACCCTGGTTTTTAAACTGTTACACAGTGTGGACAGGAGAAACAGAGGCAAGAACATTGATTTCACTATAAACAGGACTTGCATTTATACACAAGAGTCAGTGGAATTCTTTCATAATAGCGTCTCTAGTTTATCTGTAATGTATTCTTATATCTTGTATAATTCTTATATCCTGGGAGGGTACTTGTTTCCATTTTAGGTTTTCAAGAAGAGACTGATATCTATCTGATAAGACTGAAAAGTTTTTCAGTCCTGGATCAACGAAGTCTAAAACTGGGAGGAGCTACACAGGAGGTGTAACATCATAGTTGTCCCATTGGATGCTGGACGGAGTTAACCCACTCTAGATGCTGTCTCCACCAACTTTGGAGAATAGTGTATTTTATATTTTAATGCCAATCCAAAATTATGAACATACACATTTTTTTTAAAAGTAGGAAACTATGAACATAAGATATATGTTTCATTGACAGTAAGGCAATAACTGATTTTGGAGATAAAAAGAGTACCTCAAGAAAATATGACACAGTATAGCTAAGCATTTACTAGTTACTCCCTTTTTCAAGTACATAGTATATAGGGAGATTTCCCCACCTCCAAAATCTTCCAGTGGTCATAGTTTACTAACAGTAATGATATGTTTTTGCAGTCAGCCAGATAAGAAATTTGACCTTGATAAATTATCAACAGAGATATGTTAAAAACTACTCTGCCTATGAAGTTAAATGTGATAGCAGAATTAAAGAACTTAATACTTCCGAAAAAGAACAGCCATTTGTCAGATGAAATGCTTACTACATTAGAAGTAACGTACAAGTGGTCTTCGCACTTACAACCACTGCAGCATCCCTATGGTCACACAATTAAAATTCAAATGCTTGGCAACAATTGTAGTATCCCAGGATCATGTCATCACCATTTGCAACCTTCCCAGGCAGTCTCTGACAAGCAAATGGGGGAAGCCTGACTTGCCTAACAACTGCATGATTCATTTAATAAGTAGTGATTCGCTTAACAGCCCTGGCAAATAAAGTTGTAAAATCAGGTGTGACTCACTTAACAACATCTTGCTTAGCAAAGAAAATTCTGGTCCCAATTGTGGTTTTAAGTCAAGGACTATCTCTATTCTTTAAAAACTAATAGCCAACAAAAATGTTTGGACGTCTATGTGACTGATGATATTAATGCAGTTTTTACACAGTGACCTTATTTATTTTATGCTTTATTCATTTTCAACATTAAATTTGTAAAAAGGGTTGGGAGAAAATAACTGGTCCAAAATTAACAAATAAGTTTCATGGTTGTCTCTGATCCTAGTCAAACTTATCATGCTAGTTCTATATACTGTATCTTAACATGAAAGTAAATGGAAGTTATACCTCAAAAACATGTGACCTATTTCAAAGTTTAAAATCTAATTACAAGAGTAAAAACAAAAACAAAAAAAGCTTCAACACTATTCTTCAACCTCCAGGAGAAAAATCTTTAAACTATTTCTATAAAACTCTGGAATCCAACGGGATTAAATAAAGCATACAGAAATATTGCCGTACATATACAAAAAGTTAGAAAAATAAACATAAAGACATCATAGGGTTATCAGAAAACTTCACTTAATTTAATTGGACTTATTGTTAGTTTTTACATGAATGCAATCTTGCCCATCAAAATAAAGTTTGCAGCAGTCAACAGAAAAATCATCTTATTTATACAATAGTTGAAATAAAAAAGTTATACTCAAATAAAAGTTTTATATCTATGAACTATTACTTATTATCTCCAACTCATCCTCCCAATCTACCTAAGAAAAACTACTTCAGCAAAAGCTGTCATTATTAATGTACTACCTATAGGACACTCACAATAAAGTTCTTGTTGCTAAACAATATCTAGCCCTTTTCGTAAATACATATATTGATGAGGGCATATTTTATTGCCATTCATAATTACAGTTTAATAAAGGTAAAGGTTCTCCTTGCACATATGTGCTAGTTGTTCCCAACTCTAGGGGGCGGTGGTCATCTCCATTTCAAAGTTGAAGATGGTCATGTGGCTTGCATGACTAAACGCCGAAGGCACATGGAATGCTGTGGCCTTCCCAAAGGTGGTCCTTATTTTTCTACTTGCATTTTTTACATGCTTTTGAACTGCTAGGTTGGCAGAAGCTGGGACAAGTAACAGGAGCTCACTCCATTACATGACACTAGGAATTCGAACCACCGAACTGCCAACCTTCTGAATGACAAGCTCAGCCACTGAGCCACTGCATCCCTTGCAGTTTAATACAGCAGTTTAATTCTTTTGTTTCAGATACAGCACAAATACTAATTTTTGAATTGAAACTATTAGCTATAGAGAAAAGTGAAAATAAGCCAAAAAGCTGCTTTGTAAGCAACATTCTGTCCACTAGTCCTAAAATAAAAACCTGAAATATTCCAAAATTAATATATTCTGAAGTGTGAGTAAAGAAATAAAATGTCTCAGGGGAGTACAGCAAGATGAGGATCCTGAACTATGTGGCATTAAGGATAGTATTTTTATCTTTTATCCAAAAAAGTACCAGTCTTGTACCAGCATAACAGGGCCAACACATTGGGCAGGAATAGTCAGATACGATAATAGAATATTGAACAGAATATTCTTCTGCAGATTAAAAAAAAAACCCACCAATTGGCTTCTTTTAAAAAAGATTCATTGTACTGTATATGTTCACTTTTACAAGAATCAGTTATTTTATTACAAACCCAGTATTTCAGAAGAGTTAAGACAAAGACAACACTTACTTGTTAAGTACCATTAAGAGAATTTATAGGGACAGGAAACCTGAACAAGCAACTGCCTTGCTCACGCTAGTTTAAGACAGAATACTATGTGTAATAACTTCCAGATGCTCCTAAATACCATTCTAACCCTTTCCGCCGATCATGCCAGATGAGACTGGAAGACCAAGTCCAAACATTCAGAAAACATAACACCTACTCTTTTCCCAATATGAGATTTTCTTTTTTTAAATGGTGAATCAATTATATTATGAAGTCACAGCAAAAATGCCTCTAAATATTTCTAAACTAGAATCCAGCACTTGTTTTGATTATTTTCAAAGTTTATGTAAAGTTTTGCCATTTTCAATATGCATAAAAGCATATTTGTTTTTTTATGCACAGCATTTAAATATTTACAATACTACAAGCTATAGAGAACATGAGTTATGAAGTGTATCCTTGAAAGTATAAACAATTGTATTAATATGAATTGACTTTCAAAGCTAATTTCTCACATATCAGGAAATACATGCAAATGTTGATGAAAACAGATTTCAGATTAAGTTTACAAAACTATGTATTAGAATATTTCAGATAATCATTGGATTTGTACACAACATTTAACCATGTCTTTTCTGCAAAAAGCATGTTTTATTTCCTCTTAATAGTGGGGATAATGAATGTAATGAAAGCTAGACAGAAAATTATGTTGCATTTGGAGTCCCACAGTAACTATTGCTTCCTAAAAACTTCAATGAACTGCCCTTGTTGATATTTTAGTTCTTAAATTAACTCAATAAGTTGTACAAACTTTACTACTTATTAGAAACAGGATTTTAGTTCTTAACAAAGTGGCAATAAAGCTTTCAAAAAGTCCAATAGTCACTATGAAATAATTTATAACTCATAATTTTAGAAATCAATATTACATCTAATGTGAACCCTAACCAATGTTCTTAACTATTTGCTGATATGAAATTGAGACAAATTTCTGAAAGTAGAAAGACTAACTTTAAAAAATACCAGCAGAGTCTAACCACTAATATTGAACTTGAAAGCAAACTTGTTCTTTTGCTTTCTGTATAAAATATACAGCCATCTAGCTATACCAACTCAAGGGAGGCACCATTCCTTCTATTTCCCCTCTCACGATCCAAACTAACCAAAATTTAAACACCACATATTCTGACTTAGAAAAACAGCATAATATATCTGAGCTATTTAGCCTATAAAACATAATGGAAGAATATCCCCCCCCCATTTTATTTTCCTTAAACACAATTGTTGCAGTTATGCCTAAAACTATTTTTTAAAAAGCAAAGCTGCTATAGGACAGTGCATATGTTACATCTGGCATATATTTAAAAATAACCCTGCTGAATCAAACCAGAAATCTCCCTAGCTCAACATGTGGTGTTTTATGGTTATCAATTAAATGGGTCTGGGAAGACAGCTTTGTCTTGTTATGATGGCCAAAAGAACACTGACTGTGAAAAGAAAAACTACACATACCGATTATAGTTAATAGCTGTTAAAAAAATTACCCTCTAGGAATTTAATTCTTTTAAGTCATTATCAACATGCATTGCGAACTATGAAGCAATTTTTCCCTACTTTTTTCTTTTAAACAATCCCATGGTATTTCAAGTTTAAAATTATGAGAGAATCCCCTCTGGATATAGTTATTATGCTCTTCCCTATTATCTGCATGTTTTTTTTTCTAATTATAACACTCCATTCTTCAGTTACCCTTCAGTTAGACAAGTGATGTTTCAGTCTCTCATACATTTTGATTGCCCTATTTTGGAAGAGCAGAAAAGGCAATCAAAACTGTAAAACAAAAAATATTGAAGTCATTTTCCCGATACAACTTATCTTAATGCAGTACCACTAATAAATATCAAATCAGAGTGCCATTGGTTTTCCTTACAGTTCCATGAAAAAAAGTTTCCCAATTTCTCAGACTGCATCTTCCAACAAATAAATTCAGCCATGAATGTGAATAGTAATACAATATAAAAAATAAGTAGATTCAACTGTTCTAAAAAGTTAAAAAATAAATTATTTATCAAAGTCAATCTTACAATAACATCTTTTATTAGGTAAAATATCTTGCTGTTAAGTATCTTCAGTTAGCAGTAATTACTCACAACCTACATTTTATTTTAAACAGACACATTACCTTTCATCCCAAAAATATAACTAGTATCCTAAACACACATTTTATTGCATCAATCCAAAATCCTTATGCTGCCTGCCTGATAATAGTCAGTTTTCTCTCACATCTGTGGAAAGCTGTCATGGTTTCTGTTTTTCTGCTTCCCTTAGTCTACTCATGTCTAAATCATGTGCTATGTGATGCCTATACTCAGTAGATGGCATCTTATCCCTATCTATAACCCCAGAACAGCTGAATTAAGCTTCTAAACAACACTATTTAGAATAACAAAATATAGGTGGTGCTAAAGTTACCTCCTCCTCAATATCAAATATTTCACTCACAGAGCATAGAAAATTGCATCTGCAAAGCAGGCTGCTAACTTTCTATTACAGCAGACTCATGCATGGAAGCCTTTTCTGACAGGCTGTGTTCACAACAGCTGGGAGATAACAAAGATTAACTAGAAAGGCAACAAAAATTCTAAAATATAGTTATGCTATGCTTTAAATTGCACTAAAGTTTCCAGCAAATCATGCAATAAAGAAAAGTGACTATCATAGTTTTTTTTACTGAAATGGAAATTTATTTTTACTGTACAAATTGCTTTAAACATTATGGTTGAAATTCAAATTACCCCATTTTATTCTATGTTGTACAATCCTCTAAGTATTTTATCCAATTTAAAAAGCATCTAAGCAAAAATATGATTTTTTTAGGTGAATTGCGAAGAAATAAAGGAAATTTCCAGGAAGACAGAACTAGAAAAATGCACGCATGGCATGTAAAAAAGGGTCAGAGATATTTGTAAATATACTTAGTAGCTGCAAAGTTGTAAAAAGTTAATACAAATTCTCAGCACAGTAAAATATTGGATAACCATAGAAACTCTTAGGTAGCAGTTACACACTACCAACAGAAAAAAGTATGAATAATAATGTTACCAATACTGTACTGCAGAACTGTAATGGTATTGTAGTATATATATGGTACTATATAGCACCCGAGATTATAGCCTCAGCTTTCATGCACTGAGGTCCATTTCACGTGCTGGATGCCAGATAATACCACCCATTCTTTGGGGATTAGTGTATAGCCGTCTGAATTATTTTAAAGGGTAACTCCTCTCTACCACGGCCTACATATTACTTAAAGTCGGCAACAGCTAACGGGGTGTGGCGAGATAGAAACTGACGATTCTTTAATTCCATTTTATTTTAAGCCGCGGCTCCTACTTTTCCCTACATTGCGCTTTTCTAATTAACTCGTCGTAGTAATTGAAGAACTGAGAGGTAGCAGTAGTAGTGGCGGTTGGAGGAGAGCGCGAAGGCTGCTATCCAGAAAAGCTGGCTGAGGAGGTGGGGAATCTTGCCTATTTGGGAGGTTCTGCGCCCCCAGCCTCGCTTCGGGTGGGCGGTAAAGGCCCCTTCGAGGTAAGGAAGAGCTAGGCTCCCATCCGCGCTCGAGCAAAGCGGCGGGAGGTTCTAGAGAGGCTTCCACCAGAGCTCATTCACAAGGGGAACAAGGCCATCCGACCATCTTCTCGCCCCCGGAGGCAGAGTACATGTGTCCGCTTATAAGCATACCGCACCCGCACTGCCCTACGCCAGGCTTCCCCGCCTCGCTTCGACCCTCGAGGAAGAACTTCGCTCCCCGCGCTTCAAAAAAAAATGCCCCTTCGTCTTTCAAGCCAGAGAACCGGATCCCAGCCCACCCTTCGGCGTTCCCTCCGAACCGCCAACACTCACCTTCTAGAAGCCTGGTGATAAGACTGTCCACATTCAGCTCCCCGTCCGCCATTTTGTAACCAATGGACTCGTCCCGGGCGGAAACACAGAAGGCGCTTCACCGAGGAGGCGTCAGCGTCGGCGAAAGCAACAACTCCTTCTCAGATCCCTCCCTCCCGGCCGCGGCTCCAGCCCTCCCAAGAGCAGCCCCCGAAAGCGCCCAGCCCAACGGGGACCCCCGTCCTACTTTCTCCTTCCCTAGCGCCGCTGAGCAGGGAGGAGGGAGCAAAGAAAGCGACGAACGCGAGACCGCCGCTCCTCCTCCCCACCCTCCTGCCTGGTTTTGGGCCTCTCCGCGCAAGCGCCTTTCGTTTCTTTCCACAAGCGCGCGCCTCTTGTCAACAACTGCGCGGGAGTATCGGGTTCGGCTCCGAAAGGCTGAAGCGGCTTTTAGACCGCCTCCCCCCCAGGAGAGCCTGCGCAAGCGCAACAGGCTCAAGGGCCGCCGCTCACGGACGCGGCTTGTTTCGGACTGCCTTTCCCCCTTCTTGCCATCGGCTTTAGTATCCTAGTAACGGGAAGGTCGAGTCTGAGTTTTAAAACATCGAGACGTGGAGATTTAGTTGGCTCCGACAATGCTTACTTGGTGCAGTGGACCGTATAGTTTTTCAATAGTCCTTGTTTTAAGTCCAAAATCTTTCGGAAAGAGCCGAAAGAGTCTCGGTAGAGGCAGAATAGCAGCTGTGGATTCCGTTCTGATCGCTCAAACACAGGCTCATGTTGTTTGTTGTGGGGTTTTATTCTCCCAGTAACTAATATTCCTTATCCTTAATGCATTTTCAGAAAGAGTTTTGAACAACAGCCTTGTTTTCTGGCGCTCGTGATTAAACAATCCTAGGTTCTCAGGAGAATGGCTCAAAAATTGGGGTACTCGCATGGGCGCAAACTTAACTGAGATACTTTGGAAGAAATGTTGGTTAAGTAGAAAAATGTCACTATGTGCTCAGTACAAAATCTTAGATGTTTAATTCAAAAGTGGAAACTTTATTTGCTTTATTAGTAAAATGCCACATGTCTTTTCATTCAGGTATCAAGTATAAAGCTTCATATCAAAGTTCCAGTTCTGCAACAATTTTGGTTGGAACTGTTGTGCACAATGGGGATAGGTGCGTGCTTCCGTTCTTCTCTATATAAGCTTTGAAAACATTTTTATTTTTTTATTTTTTATTTATTTAGTTTGTCAAACATGTACAAGATAAAACAGGTATGTATAAACATGGACATGAATAAAGGAAATGAGTACTAATAAATGGGGACAATATCGCCACTCCTGCACATGATACGAGCCAATTTATACATTTGAAGGTTTTCCATCATTCTTAAGAGGTAGCAAATCTGACACACTTTTTCTCCCCACTCCACTATTTTCTTGGATTTAAATACAGATGAAGAGTTTCTGACCATTTCCTAGCTTTTCAACTGACCTTATTAAAATTCTGCCTCATTACAGGATGGATAACAGGATACATTTTCAAGATGGGTAGCACAGCATTTATAAAAACAGTTATCTTTTCTATTGCAAAAAAGTAATAAGGATGTGTATATCTTTAATTTTAAGAAAAAACAGGTACAAATTATTTCAATCAGAAATTTTGGAGAGTTTAAAAAACCCATTTTACAGGAAAGTAATATTAAAAGATGTTCTTCTAGATTCCTCTAGAATCCTAGAAAGAGGCCATTTAGTCCATAGGTTCACGCACTGTCCAATAACAATAGTTATTCTGATGAATTTATCTTACGATTTCAGAGATGCATCCATTTGGCTTTTTTGGCAATAAAACAAGTAGTTTATCTTTGCTTTCATGTTTTTGCCCTGAATAACAAGGTTTTTTTTAATCCCCAATTGATGCTTTAAGAAAAATCCAGCAATAATGCAGAACATTTAATTAATGTTTCTAATACAAAAGAAATGAACAAATGATTAAAAGAAGTAACAAGGAATTTAGAACCTCTGGGCTTTGGTAAAATAGATTGCTATGTGAATAGTTCAGTTGAGAACTAAATTCTCCTATTCTCACGAAGCCCATTGGGCAAAATACAATTATTCTTAACAGTACAACTAGGTCTGTGATGACAAACCTATGGCATGCATGTCAGAGGTTCCACACACAGCCCTCTCTGTGGGCATGTGTGCCGTCACCAGCTGCTCTTCTGGTTTCCAGTGCCCACATGATCTTTGCACACACTGGAGCACTGGAAACCCAAAAGCCACCTGGTCTTTGGGATTCTAGCACACACATGTACACCGGCCAGGTCAACTTCAGCAAGCGCATGCCGGCCACCTGGTCTTTTGGTTTCCAGCACACACATGTGCATTGGCCAGGTCATCTTCAGCATGCGCATGCCGGCCACCTGGTCTTTTGGTTTCCAGCACACACATGTGCACCGGCCAGGTCATCTTCAGCATCCACATGCCGGCCACCTGGTCTTTCAGTTTCTAGCACACACATGCGCACCAGCCAGCTCATCTTCAGCATGTGCATGCCAGCCACCTGGTCTTTGGGTTTCCGGTGTACGTGAAGACCAGCTGGCCAGCATGCATGTGCATGCCGGAAACCCAAAAACTAGGTGATTGGTGTGTGCATGCATGCTGCCCAACTGGTCTTTGGGTTTCTGATGCTCTGGTATGTGCGCATGCATGCGCATTCCAGAAAAGGTTCCCCATCATTGAACTAGGTGAAACACAAGAATTTTGATTGGATGGAGACAAGCACTACTTTGAAAGCTGAATTATCCACACACATTGTTATGCTGCTCTTATTTCTCCAAGTATTTATCTTAAATAGGAAAACATTGTGTACAAAATATTAGATGCATATTTAGATCTTCCAACATCTTTTTCTTTTCCTTACCAAGATTTATCTTATCTGTACCTTATCTGTAGCCCCTTTTAATTGCAGATGGAAAAACCTACAAGGCAAGATAGTTCCTGTAAAACATTATCAACAAAAAAGACAAAGCATGGCTGAAGAAGGCAAGAAACAATAGAAAGAATTTTATTAATTTGTATTTTTCTCAAAGTGAATGCTAACACTGTGAGATTTGGGCTACAAAAACTAAGACATCCATTGAATGGGAGTAAAGAGGTAGAATTACAGAAAAGTAATTTCTTTTTGCTGTCCAGCAATTTTTCAGGTTTTGTAGTTTAGAACTAATGATATTATAACTTGCCTGCAAAAGAGAGGACAGCCCTACCACTTTGAAGCCTGTGGATCTGATTCTGTGAAGCAATTGACTTCTTAACTCAACTGCCAAGCAATCTATCCCAAATTTTGTAAGATAGGGAGAGTCCATATGCTCTTGACTTCAAAATAATCTTCCTCATTTTGCAATATAAGGAAATAATGTTTCCATTTAACATTTATTTCACAGTATCTTTACAAGGAATATTAGATAAGATTGTAGAAATGGAGTCTCTGCAGGATATAAACTCTTTGCTTCATGATACATCTACATATAATCCAAGACCATGAGAAGCACAGCTAACTTCATTGGTGAATATAAAGCACTCCATTTATTGCCACAGATAGTCAAGACTCATTTATTCTTGCACAACCAAAGCCAACAGTGCACATGTATCAGATAAACAAAGATTATGGGATAGACAGAGGCTCCTTATGTGTGCACTGATCAAATGAACACATGTTAGGGGCTGGACTCACCAGAAATTAACAATGGCCCCACTGTATATCTGCACAATTACAATGACAAAAGGATCATTGGGGATCCTGTGAGTATTATTGTTGATGTTGCTACATTGGTGTTTTTTTTTTATCCCAGTGTTGTTATAAGGTTGCTGATGATGATTGAGAATAAGAATTGTGATAGGCACTGAAAAGCACTAAAAGTATGCCAACATTTAGAAGGACTATACTATTGCTTGAACCTCTAGAAGGGTAAGAATAACACCCAAATTTCAATATTTCTCTTCCCTTCACTATATTCTTACAAAGGCACTATCCAAGTTCCTTGTGAGAGCTATTCTTAAAGAGACATTTTTATGTTAATACTGGAGTTCTGAATTAATGTATTTTGAATATAGTATTCTGAACAATTCTCACATTAATTCCGAATGAGGGCTGAAAAGATTGATTTACATATTTGAGCTTCCTTGTCTTACTTATGCTGTAACAGCATAAATAGAGCTGTGTTTCTGCAGGGAAATCAGTTTCATTTTTAAACTACAGTAATTAATATTAATCTTAGTTGACATAAATACATGGTTTGTGAGTTTATAGATATAGACTAGTCTAAAACATACTTTGTTTACTAATTCTGTAACTAACATGAATGATAAAAGAGAAATCAAAAGAAAATAAATCACTAGAGAAAGAATAAGATGGCCACAGGTTTTACTATTTCAGTGCCTATGAATAGGTAATAATAGTAGATAAAGAATACAAAATCACAGAGTTGGAAGGTATTCTATATCTGACAGATGATACATCCATAAGAGCATAAATAAGTAAGTTTATAGTTATAACTACAGTTGACCGATAAGTTGGGATATGACTAAAGTAATGTAAGTGAGTAAGAAATTTTGATTAGTACAAATAATTGAATAAAATAGATATTTATTGGAATGATTTTTCTCATTATTATTAAAACAGTAAGTATAAAGGTATCTTTTTCTTACTTTTGTGTACCAACTTTGGTATTGCTTATCACTTTTGAGACACTGAATAGTGTCTTTTTTGTGTTTTTGTGTGTTTAAAATTCTTATAGTCTCCACCACATGCAGTTTCTATTGAAATAGTCATCCTTCAACTTAGGAGAAAAGTAAATGCTGTTCTTCTGTTTTTTTAGAGACTTTAACTCAATTGGCATTAAGGTAAGAGCCTTATTTGAAGCAACTTGATTGCTAATGACTTCACAAGCATGCCCATACAGTTTTCATAGTATCAAAAGTAGTCTGCCAATATCTTCCTCTAGGATAGGGGACAATGACTCAAGAGGACCACATCAGGGTTGTGTTTGACCTTGGGGGTGGGGGGTGGGGGGTGGCCATCCTGACATCACTTGTGTCTATGGTGGCCTGAGCGCTCTGCTAGGGAAAACAGGCTCCCAATCTCTGTTTTCGGCTGTGACAGTCTCCTGCAACCCTCTGCCAGCGAAAAAGGAACTTGATGAGCTTCATTTTCGCTGGCAGAGGCACCACAGGCCACTCCACTGTTTCCAGGGTGGCCCTGAGGGGCAGGTTAAGCACAATCCAGCCTGCAGG